TGCGGATGCATGGCAGCAAAACAAAAAGATACAGTTAATGTCATTAATATTAAGATACGACATGGGAAAATGTTTTATACAGTATAGATTTTTATAAATACATATATCAATCTTACAAAAATGCACTAATCCATTAAAAACCTTTTTGACAGGGTTTCTGAATGGAGGATGCATACGTTCATGGGAGAAAGCATGACAGGAAGTAGTGGACAATAACGGCCCGTTCTTTGAGTGACTTGTTTGCTGCATTTTGTTGTGTGTGGCCAGTGTGTCTGTGTGTGATTGTGTTAAAGGTTTACAGGGCCTGCAAGTCCCAGTCCATAGAGATCCTCTGGCCCCCTGCCACATAAACATGCATACGTTAAGAAGTCCCTGGATGATACAAAAATGTTTGTTGCTTCAGGCTGAAATCACACGCTCTGTTTCCTGTCCTAAAGTCATGGCCAAAGTTGGAATCTCCTTTCTCACAAACTCATTTTTACTAAAGCTTTGCAAAGAAGTAATAACTAACTTATCTTGTGTTCACTGTTACACACTGTAGAATGAAATCCTCCCTAACCCCCCCAAAAAAGATAAGGAGCCCCAAGAGGGGAAGAAAATATGTCTGAAGGAATTTGAATTCCTTTTCTCTACTAGATTTTGCACCCTATCTTTCAAAGTCAGGGTTGAACAAAAATTTTAAGTAATTTAAAGTTTGTCCCTTAAATGACGGTTGAAATATTTTAATTCCAATGGTAATTATTTTTAACCTGACAACAGCCAGATGCATGTCTCGAGACATGCATCTGGCTTTTGTCAGGTTAAATTATTTTTCCCTGGGTCAACTTAAAAAACACTATTGTCTTCACCTTCGTGCAACATAGTTCAGCTTAATGTATTATACAAGAAAACAAATTCACTTCAATTCAGTTTATTTCTATAGCGCCAATTCACAACACGTCATCTCAAGGCATTTTACAGTTCACCAGATCATCCAGTCATATTGATTCAAAGTTTCTATCTAAGGAAAACCAGTTAATTGCATCGACTCATTGACTCGGATGCAATCTCTCACACAAAGCATGCTTGTAGCGACAGTGGAGAGGAAAAACTCCCTTTTAACAGGAAGAACCCTCCAGCAGACCCAGGCTGACTGGGGTTCAAGGAGGTACAAATAGCAGTTGTAAAAGGCGGCCCCGTCAAGGGAACATACAGCCAGGCAGACGAGCTCTGGGCCAGCTCTCATGTCAGAGGATGAAGAGAGCACATCCAGCAAGTCACAGTCAGAGAAACAGGACTCCACTGGTAAAACAGGCCGAGCTCCAACATCTATAAACAAAGGTGTTGATGGCAGCAGCACAGATGATATTTCTCTCCAGGATGGCGTCACAGCCAAACAGGAACAGATGAGGTGAAGCTACTATGAGAAAAGGCAGAGAGAGCAGAACGTTAGACATTAAACTAATAGATTCTGCAGAGTGGAGGAATGGAGATAGAATGAAGCAAAATGATGAAATGGGGGTCCCTATGTTCTCCAGCAGTCTAAGCCTATAGCAGCATAACTATAGAGATAGATCAGGATAACCTGAGCCACTCTAACTATAAGCTTTATCAAAAAGGAAAGTTTTAAGCCTACCCTTGAAAGTAGACAGAGTGTCTGCCTCATGGGCTTAAACTGGTAGTTGGTTCCACAGGAGAGGAGCCTGATACCTAAAAGATCTGCCTCCCATTCTACTTTTAGAAATTCTAATCAGATCTCTGATATAAGATGGAGCTTGGCCATTTAAGGCTTTATATGTGAGAAGGAGGATTTTAAATTCTATTCTGGATTTAACAGGAAGCCAATGAAGAGAAGCCAGGATAGGAGAGATATGATCTCTATTTTAAATTTTCATCAGAACTCTGGCTGCAGCATTTTGGATCAGCTGAAGGCTTTTAACTACAGTTTGTGGACTTCCTGATAGTAAAGAATTACAATAGTCCAGCCTTGAAGTTACAAATAAATGGACTAGTTTCTCAGCATCACCCCTGGACAGGATATTTCTAATTTTTGCAATATTCCGCAGAAGAAAGAAGGAAATTCTAGAAACTTCTTTGAGGGTGCATCTATAAAACAAGATAAGTGGTATAAATGTAAATATTAAACTCTGTTCCCTTTTCAGTATTTTTATCATATTTCATATTTTATAGTATATTTATTTTATCTGATATCAGAATTTAAGAATTCTAAGTTGAAAAAATAAAACAGATAAATAAATGAAAAGTGCTGCTAAACCACTGTTAGGATACAACATGGCTTCTCCTGGCATAGAATAGTTGAAGGAATATATTGTTCATTTCCAGTTTATATCTTTTTACAAGCCAATTAATAATGGTGCATATAATACCTAATAACCTCTATTTGTAATACAGATACATTTTATTAGCTTATATTGGTAACAGTCCTCAGGATCATAACAACAAGCACAAAACATTTTGATTTTCAACTGTGCTGCTCTGGTTGATTTGTGATTAATAATTCATTTTATGGCTGCTACAGTGGCCAGTTCTCTTTAGTAAGAGATTCTGAATCTCAGTGGGAACCCCTGGTTAAATAAAGGATAAAATTAGATTTAAATTAACATGGGAACAAAGCAAATATTTGAGTTGCAGCAAGAAAAAATGTTGGTATTTGCTAAAAGAGAAGATGTTAACTACCATTAGCAATAGTAGCCAAAGTCTTTCCTGAAGTTTTCTAACCCTCAGACAAGAGGCTGGACATAACTATTATATGTCTTATTAACTTAATGTGATATAAACTGTAGTAAAATAACTTATTTTTTCCTCCAACTTAAACTGTTTGAATTACTGGCAGCCATGTTTAATATTAGATGAAGGGAAGAATTTGAATTTTTATTTAGTTTTTTTTCAATTCAAATTCCAGTCTTATAGAGTCATATTGATAAATATCTCTTTGGATTTTCCAACTTCAAACTCAAATTCTTAATCCAAAAATCCTATAATGTTTAAATCCATTTATAGACTATTATCTCCTCCTGGGATGTGACATTTCCTTGTTGAGTTTTTTTAGCATAATTTCAACATCAAATCTGTTCAAAAAGTATGTTTATAATTGTACTGAATTTAAAATAAATCACAGCATTAGCATTTTTAACATATTTATTTTAGTTTTTCAACTTTTTTTCTGAGGACAGAAAAGCAGTGAAGTACACAATGAACCAGTGCATCACCATCGGAGACAGAAACACCCTGAAACACAAACTTTGTCACTACGGTTACGCTGCAATCCGTGAACGTGTGAAATCCACTAACCAGCGAAAGGTTTTGCAATCCTCATTCCACAAACATCTTTCACACTTTCAATAGAACCGAGAAATCTGGTGAAATGCAGCGAGGTAATAAGTGCAGCATGCTGTTAATCATTTACCAATGTATTTGGGGAAAAGACCAGAGAGAGGAAAAAGTAAAAATAACAAACTAATGTAATTTGAGTATTTATATATTTATTGTTGCAAAAACTTCCCAGTAAGAAAGAAACTTTTATTCTGGGGCAGCATGATCATGTCAGAATAAAAAAACAAGCTTGGAGCCAGTGGGGTCTCTGCTCTTAAACTTTCATACAGTTCATCCCAAATAGCTTTCCACATCTGTGCAGGGATAGTAAGGTTTAACTCATCATATATTATCATCAGCTTGTTGACTAACCTTAATTTCAGTAAGAATCTGTGAATAAAGTCAGAAATTAGGGCGATAAGAAAAGAGCCTTGTGAATTAAAAGGCTTGGAGCTCCTCACTAGCATTAAAATACCAATGGAAACCTGCAGAAAGCTGGTCAGCAATTTAAAACAGGTTTGACTTACCCTATGAAGTTGTATGCATTAGCTGTTAAACTGCTATAAATCATTTAGAACGTTATATTTAAATCAAAATATGAATAGAAACAGATTTTTTTCTTTTACTGCCTTCACTCTACTAAGGCGAACATTTCTTTACCTAGAATAAAATAACTAATGATAAACTTCATGATGGAAGTAGAGAAATATAAATGAAAGAAAATGTAATAATAAACTTCAGTTACTATGCAACCCCATTTTATTCCCAACACAACCTGTGAGGATTTCCATCTATTCTGGAATCAGATCGAAGCGTTTCATCTCCTTATTGACCGATCAGAAAAAGATAAACTTTAAACATTGCTAATGCTAAAGTAAGATGTTAGAACCATTCTAATAAAGTTTAACACATGAAATAATGTAAAGTTTATCAGCATAAACAACTGTTTGAACAAAATATTTAGTGAATACTTTCTCATTCAGGCTGTTATTGGACTGTTGTTTTAAAAAAAACGCTAAAGGTTTAACACTCTGTGGAATGCGAGATGATTACTGGATAGAAATGTTAACACTAATACACAAGCTCAAATAGTGAGTACATACATCAATAATGAGTACATACAATAGCCAAGACAAGTCTAGAGAAATGACAAGTATCTGTAAGATCAACATTTATAGTCTCCATCCAGACAAAACATACTGGATTGTTAATATCGTCACAGTATCAGAGCATGTTAGAGATTCAAAACAATTTCATAATCAAAACAAAAAACTAGTGAATTGGTCTATATTCTTATAATTAAATGTAAATGTTGAGCCAAGGGCTTCAGCTAATTGGAGCAATAAAAAACAGAATTTGATTCATTCAGTGTTGCTTATGGATTTTTCTGCCTTCCAGGGAATCTTGAAGTATTTATGTTGGCCTGAAAAAAAAAAACAGGCAATCACCATCACCTGGAGAACTAAAAATATGGAACAACAAACAATGTGTGTAAAACACCAAAATTCAGTTTGTTAATGAGAGGAAAAAGCACAGATGCTGTATTTTCCTTAATCCAAGGTTAATTATTTATTCATTGGGTTTTATTTTGATGGGGCTTGTATTGCTTTGAATTAAGACGATGAAATCACAGAAACAACAGGACTGGATGACATCATGGATTTCCTTTTTTGTTTGGGACATTTGTATGTTGAAGTCCTCCATTTACAGTTTTCTCCAGGCATGGATCTAATCTACCATTTATTCAGGCATTTTCCTCTTGGATGGAGGCACCAGGTGTGCAGGCAGCTCTGAGGGCAGCTCATGTCCCTCCAGCTTCACCTTAATCAGGTGATTGGCCAAAGCAAACTCCTCGTCATCCAGCATGCCGTCCTTGTCGATATCTGCCAGCTTCCAGATCTTTCCCAGCACTGTGTTGGGCAGTTTTGACTTCACCATCTCCTTCTTTGCATTGGCCCCGGTCACCTTTCCATTGACAGGAGAGAGGGTGTAGAAAATCTCATCGTACGCAGGTTTGTCGCGGGCGACCACCCACTCTGCTTCATCGATGCCTTCGCCGGCTCCCTCTCCGTATCCGTGCCCAAACGGACCATTCAGAGTGCCGTCGAATGCGCCGCCCTTCACCACTTGGTTGGGCTTTTGGGTTTCCTCTTGGCGCACCAACACCATCAAGCTAGCAATGTCATTAGCCAGCATGTCGTCGACAGCCTCCAGAAGTTTGTGTTTGAGAGGCTGGAACTTGGTGAGATCCTGAGCTTGGAGCTGATCCTGGAAAACAAGAACGATATGATGAACAATGATTTGACCTAAGCTCCACCACGACTTTGATATACTAGATTACTGAGTTTACCTGCATCTTCTTCAGGTTAGGGAAATCTCCAGGTGAAATCTGATGTTCCCTCTCGATCCGCTTGTAAATGTCTCCCAGACTGGCGATCAGCTCCTTCTTCTTGTTGTCCTTCCCAAACACAGTAGGCATCTCTTTCTTCAGAGAACTTATGATGTAGGCATGAACCTGTGGATGGAGAAAGAAAGGTCATGTAAAGCAGTCAGTTATCTCTTAGCAACAATCATCTGATTTATAGAGAACGTCTCAGCCAAGGTTCAAAGAAAGCTCATGTTGGCCAGTGAAGCACTGTGACACAATGCTCTATAAACCAGGTTGTCCTCTGACCATGTTTGCCAGAGATGGATTCAGCATTCCATCCATCTTGTTAACAGGATGTAGTCTAAACTTTCAGACAACTACACTGGCTTCACATTTGACCACAATCAACAAGGATCATCTACCTCAGCACCCTTCCCTCAGACTCTGGGGCCATGATTTCCAAAGGAAAGAAAATATTGACTTCAATCAGAAAAGACTGATCAGAAACAGACTAGAACTATGAGCAACACGACAGTCTTTTCTGTCATCATCCTTGTTAAATAGCCACCCTCTTGATCAAGTTTTTCCTTCCAACTAACTTTCCACTACTTTTAGGTACATCTCTCTGTTAAAACCTTCTGTTGATAAAAAAAATCTTCTTTTGTGTGTGTGTAATGTTAACATTTTTAAGTCCAATTGAGCTGAAAATCCACAATCACCAGAATCAACAGAAACAAAACACTAAAGATAAACTTTTGGATGTTATTTTATTATACGGTATGTATACTATGAGCTATAACATAAATTCTGTTTTAATATTCATCTAAAATCAGCTGGCATAGAAGTAGCCAGTTGTGTCCCAATTGTATTTAAATGTACAGTGGAGGATTTTTGTGAATTTTTTAAAAGACTTGCCCCACACAAAAAAAAAAATAATAATGCACATGCACAACCCTTTACCCGCTCCCGAGAGGAAACGCCTACTAAACGCGAGCACAAGCCCATTTCTCCTCATGCAAGCTCCGTTTAAAAGTCGCTGTTTGCATCACTCATACAAGCTTACTTTTAAAAATGATTTTTTTGCAATTTTTCCACTATGTCAGACTCACCACCGTTAAGTGAAAATGGGGACGAGCACGTAGGACGGACTTACTTAAACAGATAAATAGAATGATTGAAAATTAGGAGGACCACTTATTTTTATATGTATATATCAACCCAGAAAAAGAACATCCTCCACTATACCTTTAACATGTGATATAAACCCTCTAGCTGCAGCTGAACGGGATTTGCCATCTTAACTGTCTTTATATTTGATCTTAACACAGTCAAACAGAAAGAACAAATCAAGTGTTTGACTTCGGTATGTTCTCAGCTGTGTTTATTATTTCCAGCCTTTGTGTTGAACCATTCTTTTTTTTTTGGAATCACAGTTTGTTCTTAAACTCAACATTCCACACAGTAGATTAGTCATCCACTAAATCTTTCAGGTTTGTTTTTAATAATCACACAAACTTTTGTGTGAGGGTTGGGAAATTAGCTGTAAAAATGTTTATAATAGTTAAATAGCAACAGAAAAAGAAAAATCCCAAAAGAAGCCATAATATTTGGTTGCTGTGCTGATACATGCGCGTTTTCCGCCTCATGTCCTCGAGACACGCAAAAACACCCATCAGCTGTCAAACAGGAAACCCTGATAAGTCTGTGTTTCCACACCCTTTACGTTTCCTCAAACAACTTCCTACCTGACTTCCTGCTCGGAAAGGAAGTGGAAGATAATTCACTCAGAGCCGAAGATTGAAATTCGTCTGGCCCTATTGGCTCTGTCATAGTGATAAGTGCTGCCTGTCAATGTTAACAGCCATGGGAGGGATGGGGAAAACAAATAGGAAACACATGTACATGATGCTGACATTCAGGCTCGTCATCGCTGTTCTCATTAATCCAGCTCAGTGTCACAGGCTGTGGGAGGAAACGTTGCAGATCTCCACTGGAGCCTTTCCTGGCGTGCCTCACCTTAGCTAGTCTGGCCCTCTTGATCAAGTCGTTGAGTTTCCGAAGTGCTGCGTTTCTGGGTAAAGATTGAATGTCCTTAAATAAATCCTGCTCCTCTGCTTCAAACAGCTTCCTGTTGTCGGGGATCAGCAGCGGGTGAGACCAAAAAGAGCCAATATAGACACGGATCACCTGGAAATTAGAAAGAGAGAAAAAAAAGGGCCGATTGTTAAGCAAAAGCATTAAAAACAAAAA